TTTGAGCACGCATGGAGGGGGCCTACTGGATCCCAGTACGCACCCTCCACGCCTGCTCAAAGTCACACTGATTTACGAAGCAAGTAACCTGTCAAAGTAGTTAGTCGTAAGCAGTTACAGTAGTGTAAGTCTACAGTAGTAAGTCAAGTAGATTTGCGGCCTGCTTGTGTGCATGTATGTCTGACTGACGACGGCAGTGAAAACGACAAGGGAGGTGCACAGCAAGCGATGCCAAACAACAACCAACAACCGCCGCTGATTCAAGAACGAATCTGGGTACGGAACCATGCTGCATGCTCAAACGAGTCGAGGCCAACACCTGATTCATGCTGAAGCGCAACTGCTGTGACTCAGACTCCCAACTCGACTCATGTCGTCAGGAACTGAGCCATTGACCTGTCTGACCATCCGACCAATGTGGCTGGAGAAGGACGTCCCGACCTGAACATGCGCTGAACCTACTACTATAATAACACTCACGCTTTGCATCGACGCTGAGCACAGAGCTGGTCGAGGTCACAAGTCTGACCACACCTGCTCATGTTAGTCGGAAGTGGTCTAACACTGTCTGACTGTCTTAGATAATTATATCATCACGTTCACACATTTTTTCATTTCTGGGCTTATCTGACTCGGAAATGGTGGCACTCTGGCAAAGGATCTCCGAGTCTGACTCTTGACTTGAAGAGCCAGCGATAAAATTTGAGAGGAGCTCAAGCTTGGAGCTCAATTTCGGACAGCAGGACACGGCTGGATCAAAATAATATCATCGTCTAACGAGATTAGTATGCCTATGCAATGCAACTTAGAGGTCTGACTTTCATCTTACTCATTTGGTCCAGCCTTGTGACCAGCCGCCCTGCTGCTGGTTCCAGCCGCCCTGCTGCTTGTCCCAGCTGCCCTGCTGCTGCGACCAGCCGTCTGACTGCTGCCCTCCAGACTGGCCGTTGTTTGACGATTGCTGCCCCTGATGCCAGCCATCGTTCGTGTAGTCTGACTTCCACCAGCCAGACCACTTCGACGAGTCGCCATTTTTCTGCCAGTTCTGATGGCTTTGAGTCTGACTCCAGCCCTGCAAGGTTTCGCAAATGTGCCAGTATGCTATGATGTTATTATAATCTATATTTAATATTAAATTTTTAAAATTGTTGGTATAATTACAGTTAATCGTTAAATCCGAAGAACAACAACAGAAACCGCTGCGGTTGTGTCAAGTCGCTTGGCCGTCTGACGAGCTTGCAGGCTGGCCTTGGGAGGGGTCTGACGACCCTGCAGGCGTGGCAGGTGGGCCCGGAGGCATCACAATGCCAGGTGCCAAGGTCCAGTCCTAAGCACACGTTTTCTGTCGAAGTGTCTGTGTTTGGCAGCTGCAAAGCCTAAGCTGTCAATGAAGAAATTTGACATTGAACCAAGGGTCTGTCTGACACTCGGCGTCCTTAAGCCTGCGAGGCCTGTACCAGTTCTTCACCATGTCTTTCGGGTAGTCCCACACTTGTGGGTGGCACCGCACTTAGATGCAACAAAGCAGTCAAGAATTTTGTCAAAAATTTGCTAAAGCAGCAGCACAACTGGCAAGCTGACATGCAGCCCAGCAGCTCAGCAAATAATTTTTCTCGTGACCCCAAGATGCGATGACCATGTTGGGGTCTTGGTACATGTGGGCCTCGTCATACTGAAGCCATTGGCCTGGGTCTGGTAGACAATTGTAGCAAGCATGAACTTCTGTCTGACATGCGACGGCCTCAACTTGAGAATGTGAT